TCATCACATTACCTTGTGTGTGCTAAGTACATGTGTGTACAAATATGTATTATTACTTCACTTTTACATCACTTACCTACTTTTATTTGTTCTCCCAAAAGTTTGTCTGTAAGAGATTGCTCCAGCAATAGGATCGCCATTTTCATCCTACTGTATTTTAATTGAACTAACTTTCATTGTATATTTTTTAGTATTAGGTGCAATAAAGAGATAAGTGAATAATAATGGAATATAAAGAACCGATAATTTAGCATAGCAATATAGTCCATCAAGTCTCGCGGACTCAACGCGGTTCCTGCTGGAAACCATCGAGGCCAAATCCAAGTGAATCCGTTACGACTAACCAATTAATCTGACTTCATCCTCACCTACTACCCTTTAATATTATTTCATCAATGAAAACGAAAAACGTAAACGTGGTTGCCATTATTTTTTATGCATAAAAAAATATACTACTCCCAAAAGACTTCCAATTTATTAAGGCCTACGCAGCCAATGGACAATCCTTGTCGAACATTTTTATCCATAACTTGCTCATGCTCTCATGTAAATCACGACTCGAATATAGTATCAGCAGGTTAACTTTTGATGTTAAAATAACGTAAATTTGATATATGTTCGAAGTAATTTCTATTTAAGTTCTAAGTGATTCTGGAGATTGTAGAATTTGGAATATGTCTTTATAAGTGAATTTTCTATAGATTTAAGCCTATGAAAGCAATAAAATACTTTCAATTTGATCTCAATACAATTGCGTCAAAAAGCAGCTTTCCTAATATATACCTACATCGCCCGTACGTTTCCGCTACAGCAAATGGATTTTGGACGGATCAATAGCGCAGCACTGAGTGACAAATTATTGAAATATATGATGATAATATGCTTATATATACAGTGTTGTTTAGTGTTGATATAGACAAATAAATAGAGTGCATTTAACCCAATTAACATGACACAATGACATTTTAGACCATCGAGTGACGTTTATAATCAGTCTCATGTACTAAAAGAAAAATTCTAACAAATTTCGATACAATTTAAAATACTTGTGATTTCTCATTTATAATAAACGTGTTCTACTCCACACATGCTTTGTACTTATAACTTTTTTTTTATATAAATTCAAGACAATTTTGAGTATAATTTTTATGTCTGACTTGACGTCTATTTTGTATATCAATGCATTATGCTACCTTAATACCTTTAAGTTTTAACCATATAGAGGTCAAAATCGTATGACCCTTAAAGCCTTTTCAACGAACTGTAAAAAGTAGAAGGTTATCAATTCAGTTGTATTTTTGTTTTTTTTTTTAATATCATAACTCTATCATTTGTAAAACGATTTGGTTTTTTTTTTATCTGAAAGAATACAGATTAGTCCTATACAAATTTTATCATTAATCAGTTCAGTAGTTTAGTTTTTAAATCCAAATAACTGGTATTGCCATAATTGAAGTTGGTTTTTTTTTATTTTTATAGAACACAAATTTAATTATTAAAATATAAAAGATCATGTTGCCAACAGTTAATACTTTAATATTTAGATTCCAAGCCTCGGGCTGGTAACATGCAGTTCAAAGGCATTTTGTCTGTCTAGACTTTCTGAAATACACAATTGAATATACTCCTATGATCAATATTAATTTCCGATCCAATGGATGATTATACGTTCAATAAATCGGATAGATACTCTATAAATGCCCAAAGTCTATTGTGGGTCTAATATTCACATAGGTACGAATATTTGAAAGGCTTGATGTTTAAAGATCGTTACTAATATTAGGCGTAAGTGTGTGTTTGTTTATTACCTCTTGGCACCATAAAGGCTCAAACAATTATAGTGAAATTGTATATACATAATATTATGATGAAGAAGGATATAGACTACTTTTTATCCTGATCAATCAATATAATTATGCTTAAAGTACTTCTGCAAAAGGGTATTACATAACATATTAAGGGCATCATGAGCGATACAATATACTCTATCGATCGATATAATATATTTATCTACAAAATTGGGTCAAAATTGACAAATATATCACATAACATACATATAAATATAGAGGCAAATTATAACAGCATCTTTCGAAGTCATTTATATATTAAGTAACATTGTGTTTAATATCACGACTAAATTAGTAATTTATTTTAAATGTAAAATTAAAATTAGCTATTGTCATTTAAAATTAAAAAAAAATATACTTCTCTTAATAATATGCTTAGAATATTTAAAGGATCGTATCTTAAATAGAACAATACGACAGATGACCAAAATTACCAAGATGTTTCAATGAATTTGGAAGCTTAAGTGGCAGTGGACTGTACGTAGAACCGATAACCATTGGAACAGACGTGTTTTGAAAGACGTTTATGTTCAACAGTGAACTGCAGTAGGACGACTGTAATAATAATGATTGTGATTTAAAATTCATGTTTTGTACTTCCCTAGAGATAGTTTTAGATTTGGCACCATTAAAACCTTCTATATGAAAGCTCAATATAATTATAGTGTTTAACAGGCCGTAACTTGACATGACAGTAAACAGAGGTTAAATTAATGGACCTTATAATTACTTTAATTTCATAATATTATGATACTGTTAATTATGTTTTACTATACAGTATGTTCCATTTCAATGCAGCGTTTAATAATATTTAGTAAAAAACTTTTGAATATTTTTATTTTACAATTAAAAGTATAAATAAATCTTCAAAACTTTAAATGACTTAATCAGTGTTAATTAATTAATTAAGTTTTTTTTTTACATAAACATGTATTTTTCTTTAATATTTTTTTATATAAATGTATTAGAATTTCCAAATTTTTAAATCTTACAATACATAGAAAGATATTGCAATAACTCCCTCTCTTTGAAAGCACCTTTTAAATACATACTCGTTAAAAAATATTGAAATTATTTGTTTTTATAAATTAACATGTAATGGTGATATGTGTGACAATGTAAGTGTCATGTGTAAATGTAAATATAGTTACACACATAAGATTATTACTTTAAAATTATTTTGTATCAATATTCCCATATCGAAAACCGTAACGATATTGAACCGACTCATTTTATTGGAACCATTTTCGTATTTTCATCCTTGAGTAACTTCGATTTTAAAGTCCTTCGATCACTGCGTTGACATTTTATATTAATAGAAATACTATTTCTCAGAAATTCCCCATCGTGGAACTCATTATGTTTAATTCCTGTGGGAGTTTTGGTAAATCTCTTCATAGTACTCATTTAAGCGAAAAAATGCAAAATTTTATAGGAAAAAAATATTAAAATAGTATTATTATTTCAGTAAAAAATGCAGTTTCAGAATAGTGAGGAAAATTATGTCTAGAATGAGACGTGATAAGACATAGATAACTATACACACATAGACATGATAAAAATAACCTTCTTTTTGAGTATTGGGCCCAAATATCATTATATCCCCAGGGTTGGTAATCAGCGAATAATGCCTCTGGTTTTGCAAGTATTAGAGTACGATGGCCGATTGCGACTAGATGAACCGTATGATTGATAAAAAAGAAACATTCTGTATAACTGAATAAACTGTCAATCAAGTTATAAATATCGGTAATGTGGAGAAGTTCGTTGGCCCCTTGAGTTAATATTTTAGTTATCTAAATTCCAATGAACTTCTAGAGCAATTACATTTAGTGTTGTAAAGTTTTAATGCTGATGGTTGACGGTAAATCGAGAAATTTATGATTAGATACTAATTACTCTATTGAGATTAGTCGAGAGATATGAAAGAGAGATACCTACTAAATATTTATTAGATTTGTTTCACCACCCGAAAGGACAGATACGATATGTTTGCATCAATAAAATGCGCGCCTTCTTAACTGAAATTTATGAGGTAACGAAAGATTTATTCATAAAAATTTAATACTTACTTGTAGCTATTTTCAAAGATATATATCTGTAAATACGAAATAAATAGAGGTGTTGCAGGGTTTTACTCTAGAGACAGACATGTTTTTAAACTAAATATATCACTATTAATAATATTATGTTTGAATTCATTGATCAACTGTACTACTTTCATTCGTAAAATTAACTTATGTGGATAGCCTAAATAAAAGACGAAAGCGGTAAGGTATTTATTATAACATAATAAAACCATTTCGTCTTTACGAAATTCTATTTAAAATGCTGTTTTTTTCAGATCTCTAGACCTATTACAGGAACTTTGGATCGAAATTGTCAACTAGGCTCTTTTGTACCTGCTCTAGGACTAAAAATTTATGCGTAAAGTATATATACCTTACAATACAGTTGATAAACTGTATTATATATACCTTTACAGACGAAATTTTATCTTTTTAATTTGCAACTTATGTTTATTAGAATACTAATTACTTCAACTTTATTACTTCACTGTCACTGAAAAAGTTTAATATGGTATTTTAGTAATTAATTTTAACTTTATCATCCTGATGACGGTAGATATATCGACTATATTGTCGAATTACGGTCACCAAAACAGCAACAGTTGACGCTGACCACTGACTTCTAATGTAATAGTGTATATATAATATTTTATTTATAAGCAATGAAAATCGGGGCTACTCGACTAGTTTTAGACTCAATGGAGCGTTTATTTATTAAAATATGACTAACAATAGTTATTATTAAAAAAAATCTTTATTTAATACAATAAGAAAAAAATATTTATGAGCACTTGTTTATAGAAATAATTACTTAAGTACCTACTTAAAAATTTAATCTAATTTCTTTTACCAGCAAAGATTTAAACCATTATTCTGCGGACCGTGATGTTAAATACTTCTTTACAATGCTTTGTAAAATAAATTGTACATCATCAAGTATTTCCACTTTGATAAATGAAACAATAAAATGATTTTGTAATTAGTTATTTAATCTGAAAATTGAAAATAAAATGATTAATCCATATTTTCAAAGATACAAAAATAATGTTTGTATTAATTAAATTTCTATTACACGAATTCCAGTAATCTATAAGTATTTTTAATATAATAATAACCACCGGTAGGTATTTGTATAAAATGAAGGAAAAACAAATCTTACTGGGTGTTGTTATGTATAATTGTAGTCTGTTTCGATAGAACTACTCTCTAAATGAATTTAACAACAAATCGAAACACTCAATCAATTTTTTTTTATCTGTACTACTTAATAATAAATAAGCTTTTGTCATTTGTTTACATTTTTATTAAGTTTTGTTGAAACAGATAATAATTTTTGTTTTCTTATAATAAGGGAACTTAATGGTCAAAGAATAGTCAGAAGCGTGATTAGGAACCCATTCATCACCAAAGCCTAACTTCAATTGTCAATCCTCTTGCCTAGCATGAAAACTACTGCCAAAACCCCCATAGGAGGAGACCTGTGTTCAGCTTTGGACAGTTAACGGCTGATAAGATGATAATGATTATATCGTAAACGTAAAAGATTTCAACATTACGTGTCATAAAAACGCTCAATGTGACTCCATTATAGATTATGTTTTCCTTTCATTTTAATTTATTACATTATACACATATTATACTAAGAACTACCTCATCCACATTTGCTGAATTTCGTGATGAACAGTAGTTAATTTGAAAACCAGAAATAACACTGACAATAATACAACTTGGTCTTAAAAATATGTATTATTTTTACATATATAAGTAAGTTAACTACGTATGATGACGAATTCCGTATGAACACAACGTTTCAATATTTATCCTCATCCCCAAGATATCGTAAAATGACTAAACAACCACATCAGAATACTCCAGTGCCATAGATTAAAACTCATAGTCATTTCGGTAATAGTACCCAATATTCTCATTTATATACTATAAACATGGCCAAGCCTACAACCCTTCTGATGGTAAACGGTTATGGTTAAATGATGGACGTGATGATGTGCCCTATTTGTTTTCTTTTATTATCTATGGGATTTTAAATAGTCGTAATGATAATAATAACATCTTTGTATCATAGTTAATTAGTGATACATATAACTGTTATTATAAATATACTATTATATGTATACTTTTAACAGCATTTTATACAATGACTTTATAAATGACAAATTGTATAAAAAACTAAAAGTAGCTTATATAAACCTATATCAAATCATTGGGTAAAATTTTTTATTTACATAATTTTTATACATATACATTCCCAATTTATACATTCATATTTGATACAAATATAAAACGTAGATAATACCTTATTTATAAATTATTTAATGTAGTTGTAGAATAACAAATTTACAACGTGACTAGATAGAAATATCAATTTTTTTACAATTAACTACCTAATATTTACAGTAATATTCTCAGGTATACAGTTGACTTTTTTAAATGGGGAAGAAAGTTTAAAAAATTAAAAGAATTATATATATTAAAACAGGACTTCCATTCACACTAAATACTCAATATGACATTCAGTAAGGAGAAAGGTAGATAGACTGCAATTTAAAAGTGCATACAAAAACAGTGCCTTCAAAGCTAACGAAATGTTTATAACAGCGATACTATAGATTAGAATAAGAACTGCCACAATCGATTTTATTCATTTTATTCAGTCAGGCAAAATCTCCTCTCTATTAAAGTTAAATTTAAAGATCTAGATTCGCGGAATCAACATTCAGAGGGCGAGAACATAAATTACAAACTTGCCGCCGTTAACTAATACAAATTACTAATTAATTATTCAAAACCTTAGAGATCTAGAAAGTCAATGTAAAGTTATGGTAAAGATAACTATATAAAGCATACTAAGTGTATTAATAATGATAAGAAATTAAAATTGATTAATAAAAGTACTAATAAATAACCTTAGCAAAAACAGCACCATCTACTTTCAAACTTGATACTATAAAAGTATTTTAAATTTATACATAATTGAATATAATAAAAAAAATCAAATATAATATGATTAAAAGTTAAGTATAAAATAAAAAAAAATATAATAAACTGAATACAATATAATATATATACTGTCAGTATTGGTCTACTGACAGACGTATACTAGTGCATTCAACCGCTTACAAAGTCGTCATTAAAAATTAGATTATTAGGTACTTATTACGACATCTATAGTAACAATTGAGCAGGTGTTTAAATAATATACATATAATTAATTATCTACTTTAATAATATAAAAAGTAGCAGTAATTAACAGAACACCCATATACATATAAACAAAATCGTTAACATACTTTTGAATATTTCGTATTAACTAAATAGCTTTTCATGAAATTGGTTGTTATTTTTCAACCAATGAACGAAACATTTTTTGCAAAAAAAAACAATTTTTCGCGAAAAATGTTTCATTAATTGGTAGATGCTAATAATTCCAATTTGACTTTGCATTTACGCTAATATAACAAAGAAAAAAATACAGCACTACATATTTCTGGTCTTAATGTTAAAAATAATGATAAGTATCACACGAGTGCTTGATGTGAATCAATCGCCTCGTTCTCAAATTAGGATACCGTGTGTTATAAGAAACCATACACAAACATCTGGAGGCACACTCATAACACCCAGATCCTAGCCAATTCAGATTGTTTCATTCTCTAAGTTGACCCGACCAGGAATCGAATCCGAGAATTCATTTACACAAAGCAACTCAAGGTGCCCAACACAGCACCAGAGATGTTATTAAGAACATGCGGAAAACAAAAAAAATAAATAAATAATACAGTACACAATTTTACATTAAATTCGGTTTTCTTTAGGTATAGTAGGTAATAGCGATTGTAAACCACTATCTGAGTTTACCTTACGTAATGTATTCATACAAATAGACTAAAATATGTCCCTACACAAATATAAGTTAGAACTATTTGTACAAAGTTTATATTAAACCATTAGGGTATTGACCACTTACACTTAAGGTATGTAGCTGCGTCCTGGTGTATGTAAGACAAACACTTCACAACTTAGAGACGGTCTCACTATGCGATCTTCAATCGAACGCTCACTTATAAACTGTATTGGGTCGGAATTAGCACTGGGCCGTACTGTTGAGATTGATGTTTCCTCGAAACGCACCGGGTATCGACGGGAACAGTTACTGGGGCGTACCTGTATCAAAAATAATATAAATTTATTATGACAAAATAATTATATCAAAACAATCCGTCTCAAAATCACGGAAATAAAGTTTTTTGAGTGGCGACCCCCAGACAAATGCAGTGTACGATGACCCTCCATTACATAGAGCGACAACCTCAAATGCATTACAGGAAGTCAGTGGAAGTCGAAATAAAAAATTAATTTAAACGCAATTGTATTTGTTACTAAAAACAAATTTCGAATTTATTGTACTAAGAAATTTCATTCATTAATTCAAAACATTGTAAGACCACTTTTTTCCTTCTCTCGTTAAAATTCTTTGCCGTTGTTAAATATTATCCTGACATAATTAAATTAAATATCCCGAGTAGACCCTGCGCCCATTTATTTTCCTACTTATTAAAATAACGTAACTCTTCCTAACTCAAACCATCAAAATAAAGGTTTCAAGTTTTTAATTTAATAGTGTTTAGTAATATGAAAAAAATAAAAACCGAATATTATGATTTTATTTTTGGGCATCTATAGTTTTTATTAGTCTGATTTTGAGCTCCTAATCAAAATTATATCCAGTATTTATTTAACGATTATTATATACATAAAAATGTATATTTTTAATAAATTATTTTTATATAAATGTGTACAATGTATTTTCCATTGTACACATTTGTATAAAAATAACTTAGTATATATCCATAAGTATACATAATAATCATAGTTACTACCTAACGACAGATGTCTGTCGCCAGGTTTCTAATAACATAATGGAAACAATTATGAACTATGATTATCAAAACCAAAACCTAGTCTATATCTAAAATTGATAATCAAAAACAAGGCTTAAGGCCAATCTAACACTATCTTACTTATATTTAGTTTATACTGATCCTTACAATAATTATTTTGCTGTAATATTAATCTGTAATTTAGTGTTGTCTGTAACGCAAAGTACCGCAATATACCCTAAATTGAACAATTAGCTTTTGATATAATTTATAGCACTCAAAACTCGAATACTTCTCAGTGTTACAACAATTATTTATAATTCAATTTGTTGATCGAACAACAAAGTACTCAACTAATTGTGATAAATATTTTTATGCAACATTATAAATTAGGTTTTGTTTTATAATTCCACGTTTAAAATCCTCCAAATTTATTATTTATACAGAAAATCTGTTTATCGACTCCTCTATTATAACTAGGTAGGTACACTTGTTTACGGATAGGTCCTCCAGACAGACTTCTTTATAAGGCCAGTTAAATGAAATTTAATCGATCCGTCAGTATTATAAAGGCCCATTAGAAGTGATTGATGGAGATATATAATTAAATGCTCACCAACATTCAATCGCAAACTAGGCATAGATATACTTTAATGTTTTTTTAATTACTTTTTGGTAATTTTTTATGCAACTTGAAATAAAAAATAAGCGAAGATCTACCTGATAGGAAGGGGTAATCGTCGCCATGGCTATGAATAGCACCATAAATACCATAGGATACGCTGTCATATCCATTGTATCACTAATGCATTGTCATTCTTGAGGACTGAGTAAATTCACTGACATGCTATAGTTACATGCTATAGTTGACATGCTATGGGTACTAATCCATTCACATGGACCGGCTTGAAGACGAGATCAGATTTTGGTAGCGTATAAAATAGAGTTTTAGATCACTAAAATAAGGTTTGTTTTTCAATTATGCTTTTTTTTTTGTTATCATTTAAACATGACAAAAGAAGTGAGATGTAAAAATAAAATTTATTTTAATTATTTTAAATTTTCTTTCTGTTTTAAATGCGAAGATATGCTCTCCTTTCGGAATCAGTCTGTGTGACTGAACACTTAGTGGCAAAAACACGAATGAGACAAAGATGCTCAAGCTTTTGTAAAATGACTCCCTTTAGTATTACTGTTCAGTTAATAAATTAATGAAATTATTTTCAACATTATTAGAAACAATCAAAGAAATATTAAATACAATTACTGTTATACTATAATTGTGTTTTGAACAATACAACGAATGAATAACAGTTGACTTCGAATTTCATTGATGTTCATTTAAAAGTTCAAAGAATAAAATAAATAAAATCATTCTTAATATTTTGTTATTAGAATAATAAAATTGTAATTGCAAAATTACATCATCCCATTCAGTGGAACTGAAAAACTCCTTTTTAAATCATCACTCCTTTAGATATGTACGTTACTTAAAAAACAAAGTCGAATAGAGACCTTTCAAATTGCATATAAATGCATATAATAGCTATAAACCATGAATGTACATTAAACATGTGGTGTATTTGTGTAAATATAATTTAAATTGATTCAGTTTAATTGAGTACCAAATATTCAAATATACCAACTTCCATTTGAGTGAAATTAATTACTGCGCCACATGGCTTTAGTTGAAAGAAGTGGATATTTCCTAAACTATTAACTTCAACCATAATAGTTCAGTTCATACATTGTAAGTGTAAATACAACAAAGTTTTCGTTTGACAGGTCTCCCTTGACTACCAATTACCGACTTAAATGAACTTGCTATTATTGTGACGTGAAAGGTGTGCTAATACAAATGCGTGTTTATGTAACTATTGTTTAAAATTATTAAAACTTTTAATATTTCATACTAAAAGGAGAAACAGAATAAATAAGTACTTATGATAACATATCGTATTTACTTCTCACATAATATATAGCCCCCCCTCTATCCCATATATAAATAGCTGGCCATAAATACTGTTACATAAAAACTTTACTTTTTTTAACCTTTTAATTATATTGAATTTGGAACACGTTTAAAAAAACTTATTTCGATTTCACGCCATTTCACATATTTTTTCGTGTTCATTATCAAATTACAATATGGAATGGGGGTTTAAAAAAAATAGGATTATAGTGATTGCAGTGCACTTTACACAAAGTGGGTATGGAGCCGTTGGTCATATTCCAGACACTTCAAAAGCTTGATATCAGCCGTATGTTCCTATATCGTACTATCAACAGATACAACAACACTTCCTCTGTCGAAAACAAGAAAAGATCGGGGCGGCCGCATGCTGTTAGAACTACAAAGACTGTTGAATGAATTAAGAATGCTGTTAAAGCCAGAATTCGACGAAACCCCATTTGAAAGGAAAAAAATCTTATCGTGAGAAATGAAGATTCCCTCTAGGACTCTGTCGCGTATTATAAAACAAGACCTGAAGCTCGGTGTTTATCGTCGATAATCAGGACATGTCCTAAACCAATCTATACAATTAAATTTTCACGATTGAGGAACACTACAATAAGCAAAATGATAAAGTGTACGCTCACAGTTCTAAAGAAGCTGCTCAAGTGGTCAGAAAGGTACAACGTGGCCATCATCCTGCGTCAGTGATGGTTTAGTGGGGCGTGTCTTATCAAGGAGTCACAAAACTACATTTTTGTGAAAAAGAAGTGAAAACTTCAGCTAAAGTGTATCAAGATACAGTCTTGGATCGTGTTGTTAACCTCTCAGCAATACACTTTTTTAAAATATACCGTGGCCTTTCCAGCACGACACTGCACCTAGTCACAAGGCACGAGCTACCTAAACCTGGCTTGAAACCAACGTTCCGGACTTTATAAGAGCTGAAGACTGGCCCTCATCTAGCCCAGACCTCAACCTTTTAGAATTCAAATTATGATCACTTTTAGAGTACATGGCCTGCTCTGAACGGCACGGCGACATTGAGTCTCAATGAGAATGTATATTTTTAATTTTATGTATGTTTTCATAATATATATTTGTATATGTGAGTAATATTTGTTTAATGTATTCATGTAAATAAATTTTTATGATCACAATGTGTAGCAGTTCTCCATTGTATGTGTTTTATAATTTGTAAGTCAATATGAATACGTTTGTTACAATTTATCTACAGCGATGTTAAATTTTTAACCGCTTAATTACATTTTCGTATTGTCATAGGTTGACCGAGACAAAATGCTGTAGAGCATTAAGTCCGTCTTCTGTGCCATTTTTTTGTAATTTGGATAATGAAGAATAAATAAGCTATTTTCTTTTTTCCTACATAAATGATCTTGGTAGTGTAGTGGATTAGATGACTACCTATTTCCCCAATGGTTACGAGCCTCGTACAATATTACATTTGTATTTATGAGCAATAATCATTTGTAATGATCTATAGATTTTCTAACTAAAGGCAACGGTTATCGGTTTCTATCGAGTGGGCCATCGCCTTATTTTCCATTTTAAGTAACATAAAAAATATATATGAAATCACAAAAAAAAAATAACAATTAAATAATAACTATGCTCAGTTTGCCGTGTGGTCCCGGCATAGAATAGGCCACCTCTTTCTTTCTCGTGGGAGTCGTAAAAATCGACTAAAGGAGCGCGAGGGATAAGCAGCAGCGTCCCTCTTAAAATATCTCTGAAAGCCTAATTATGTTTGCCCACCCGCTTGCCAAGCATGGCAACTACTAAAACTCCCCTTATTGGGAACGCTTATGTCCAGCAGTGGACATGTAAAGGCTGAAATAAAAATAAAGTGCTCAGTTTTAGACTAAATACCGTTGTATTTTTATTTAGATATATCCTACCTATATATATTAATACCTTCTTATGCGCCTTTATCATGGTGACGAGTCTATCAGATATATATTTATACATTACAGTAGATTAGATTTTATTTATAATTGACCTTATAATTAAATATAGGCCTGTAAAGAGGACTTATCCAAATTCTCCGTATAAGTAATAAAATAGAAAAATTTTAAATGTCCACTTATAAATCAAAACAAAATATACAATTTTTTTTATAGATAACAGTCATTTGAAGTTAAAGAAATTCTTCTTTAATATATAAACAGAATAAATTTTTTCGAGTAGTCAAATGTTTATAATGTTATCTTTATATTGTAAATGGTTTTAAATAGTCTTTAATAGTCTCTACCTACTCCACTTAATACTCTGAAATATAAGTACCCAAATTAACTTGTTTGAGTAACAAG